TTGCCCTTCCCAAGCTGTTCAAATGGGTCTCATAGTCCAGTCTCACTTCCACTGGTTTGCTTCATGTCAGCCCTCCCCCAAAAGACAGGTCACAGAGGACAAAAAACATCTTGTCGCTATTTTCTCTCTTCCCTTCCCAACAATAGCTTTATTTAGTTCCCGGGGGACGGAGGCCCCACACCAGTCTCTCACAGGCTCCCTGCCCTGCTCGCGTGCCCCCGGGGCTCTAGGCTCAGGGCTGCCAGCTGGCTGAGGCGCCTGACATCCCGGTTGAAGGGGGCACTTCAAGTTTGGAAACCAGAGATCCTCACCCTGATAAGGTGGCTATTCAAAAGTCTCCCAAAGTGGGGTGACCCATTCTCATGCTTGATGTACTCTTGGGGGGGGCTGTAGTCAGAGCGGTAGGAGCCTGGAGCAGCAATGCACCGACCTGGCCTTCGAGGTCAGAAGGCAGGGAGGGAACTGAGAATCCCTGCAGCTTCCCACAGAAGGAGGCGATTCCCTCCATGCTCAGGGTGCAGGACGCTGCAGGTTATAGACATTGAGGGTCTGCTCTCGGCTAAGAGATGGAGCAAGCCAGGCCTACAAGAGTCTGGAGAAGAAATCAAGGACTAAAGAATCCTAGGGAGACTTCCAGGAGGAGCTGAGCGTTATTCCCAGCCCGGGAGGCTCTGCCTGATGTAACTCTTGGACACCTCTTTTGGCTCATCTTGTGTGTCTCTCCTTCTTCCCAGCCGCTGCCTACCAGGACTCTTCCAGCCAACAGACGGTTTAGGTTTTTACTAGTGGGCCACTCTCCCTCTAGCCACAGGGCCTTTGCTCACGCTCCTCCTTTCTCTGAACGCACCTGCCTAGTACTCTTTCCAGGCCCCTGTCTTCTCACACCTGAGATCGAGTTGAGATGCTCTGTCCCCAAAGAGTATTCCCAGGTCATTCGTCTAAAGCAGATACTTCTGACCTTTTTTGTTACACCCTGAACACTCTCTTTACAGCCCTGGTCACCATGTATAAGTCTAGATCTATTTCTTTTGTGTCCATCTCTCCTCTCCCTGGCAGTTGCTCTTGACAAAGCAAGGTGCTAGCTTGTTCTGTGTACCACTGTATCCCCTGGCCTCACACTGTAGACACCATGTGTAGTGTACTTGTTGGATGGTGTGAGACAAAAGCCTCCCACGACAGGGAGGGATGCACAAGTGACAGAGTCAGGAGAACATGGGGACAAGTTGACAATAAAGTTGGCTTGAGTGGAAAGTTTGGGAGAAGCAGTGGGAATTTGGGAGGAAACAAGGGCAATCAGAATATTGGGGCTCTCATGGCAGAGGGAGGTGTTGGGGCGCTACACTGTGGGCACCAGGCAGTCATCAGACTTGGCTACAGCGGGCCAATGTCTAGTGTGCAAAGCAGGTGCAGGAAGGAAGATTCTTCTGGTGGCTCTGGTAACTGTGGCTCCTAGTTTGGGGGACACTGGTGTGTATCAGGCATGGGGCCAACAGATAAGCTTACATTTCATTTAAATCTGTTGGCATTTCCCTGAGGTCTAGGCCCTGTTTCTATCCCTAGGAACAGGGGAAGGAAACCTGATGCCCAGGCTGTAAACAGGGGCAGCCCAGAAACAGGGTTTGTTACAGGTGTTTAAATAGATTCATTCAAAATAGAGAATAGAATCACCCAGCCTGTTGATGAACCTTAACCTTGGGATGTATTATCTGACAGAATTTTCTTGGAAATTAATCAAATTCCAATAAAATAAAAATAAAGATGCAAATAAAGATACCCCTGTTGGGAGGGAAGAGAATGGACAAGATGAACTTTGAATGCCCTCTGTGATCCTTTAACATTGTGACAGGTCCATAAAATGTCAACAAGATAAATAAAACAGGTCAAGACAAAACAAGTTGATATAAAACTCCTCACCAAACTTACAGGGCTCTGTGATCTGCCTCTCCCCTCACAACTCCCCATCTTACACAGGTGGGGATACTTATACAGCATTTCTGACCCAAGCTTGTGACCTTTTCTGACTCTGATTTTAGCTTTGCTTCCTTGTGTCACAGGGCTTTTGCACATGCTGTTCTCCAACATCTTGACTCCTTCTATTCATGGTTCACATCACAGCTCCAATGTTACTTCCCCAAGAAGCTGGTGTCACTTCCTCACCCAACTCTTGGTATGCTCTTCCCTCTTCTTGGCACCTCTGTTTGTAACTTATCTGTGTGGTTGCTGGAATAAGGCCAGACTCAATCACTAGACTAGAAGCTCTGTGTTGATGTATATCACTGAGTCCTCAGATTTCCCCCAAATTTCCCGCCTCCTGACCCCCTAGACCCTTTGAGACCACAGACACCTCCAACTCAATGGTTTCAACCAAGCTCATGCACTTCCCACCAGAAATGCTCTCTCCTCTCCCTGTAACTCCACCTCAGTCAATGGTCTTGCCACCACCCAGGGGC